TTTTTTTTTTTTTTTTTTTTTTTTTTTTTTTGAAGGTTTCTTACTCAGAGTATCAGAACTATTCTAGTTTTTTGTTTACACTACATTCTTGTAGGTATTCCAGTGACGTCGGAAATTTATGGGCATTAATAAAAAAGTGTTGTCGAACAGTAAGTTAGAAAATTCAACAATTTTCTCATAGGTAAAAATGTCAAAATTACAGTTTCAAAAGAGAGGCCATAAAAAAAGTTTTTTTTTGGAATTGTAAATATGAAAATGAAGAAGGGTGCAGGAAAGATTAATCAGATTACCATTGATATACTTATTTTTCAGAAGAGTTTTTTTTCTGATTACTACTATTTGTAAAAAGAAAAAGTTGTGAGGAAAGAGCGTGACAAATATGGTCATTCGAGCTGACTCATGGATGGCAGAAAAATAAAGGAAAGGAAAAAATATATGAACAATTCTTCAAACGCTTTTGCAAGAACTAAACCTACTGTAACAGGTTTGTTTTTTTTTTTTTCAACCTGCTAACCCTTACACTTTTTAAATATTGCTAATAATTTAAGATTCAGGTTTTATTTTTTGATTAGTCATTTAATTTCTTCTTTATTTTTTCTTTTTTTTTTCACGATGAAATATTTTGATTGAAAAACTGTTTCATTTTTGACCTCTGCTTCTCTTATAGTAATATCAGAAGTTAAGGATGATAAAGTTGCCAAATGCAATTCGTCATTGATGCTATTTACATCGCCGACATGGGTGTAGTTGTATGCTATAACAACATATCGTAAGTAGGGTAAATAATTTTAAGGAGTGGGGAAAGAAATGAATGACGAAATTTTGATAAAGTTTTAGCGTTTTTTGACCGGAATTGGAATAGTAGTAATCAGAATTTGATGGATAATTGTTCTTCAAAAAATTTGGTTTCTTAAGTAACTGTGAAAGAAAAAGGAAAAAAATTTCACTGAAATGTTCAGAATTGTTCAGAGTAGAACTGTTTTGTTGGACTAAAAATGCCAACGGTTTTTGTTAGCCATAAATATTCACCGTTATTTTCCTTCGACATATCCCTCCCCCTTCCTTTCACTAAACTTTCTGCCCTTATTCTCCTCGAGTTCTCCTCGTCCTTAGATATGCATGCATTAGCCGTCATTCGTTTTTTTTTTTTTCAAGTGCTAGTACGCAAATGTACAAGAAAGACGTATGCCAATTTATTCAGTGAATAGAATATACGTATACATTTTAAATGAGCAGAAAAAGAAATTGGCTATCAAGAGCAGAAATGTTCAGTGTTGCGGTTTACTTTTTTTGGTCCTTACACGACTTCTAGAGAAATCCATTACTGTTATTGCCATCCAATAATGTTTGTTACTTCTGGATATTATTTGATATAATATCAAAACCTAAGGACTTTATGCCTACAAAAACTACACAACAAAAAGGAGCAGTGTTATCCAATGTCAACGGATCAAAGTTCTACAAATACGGCTGACGATTATTTGTATACAATAAAAAGGATTTCTGATGATGTTTATTGTATCGTTGAAAATGATCAGTTCAACTGGAATCCACTACTTTATTTTATTTGTACTTCTGGAAAAGGTTACATCAAAGATAAATTTTATTTTCTTGTTACTTTTGTCTTTTTACTATTAAAATTTTTACTTCAGTGGATTATTTAAAGAAATTTGCAGAAGAACAAAAAGTGAGAAAATATTTTTTTAGCACTACTTATTGATACTGGTTGTGGATCTGGTGATTTGAAAAATTTTTTAATATCTGCTGGTCTTTTGGGTATATCGCAGAAGTTGGTTGTTGTTAACACGCATAATCATCCACAACAAGTAAAATTGTATTACTGTTCAAAAACTAATCTTGTAATAAAAACTTTAATATTTCTATAGTTCTGTTTAAAACAGAAAATTTGCAAAAAAAAAAAAAGATTCTAAGAATAAGTTACAAATTTGATATAGCGTTTAGTTTCGCTATTTATATTTTTAGTAATATTTGATGCAGTTTTTGAGTGAAGCAAAACTGGTAATTTTTAATATCAAGTGGTCGTTCAAAGTAATGTTTCTGTGGAAAAGCTGTAAAAGTATATGGTAATTGAACAGACAGTAAATTCAGTTGCCATTTTTCAATAAACTTTCTTATTACTATGATAAATT